AATGTATCAACTATATGGGGGTGAGAAGATGGACCATGTGAAAAAAAATTTATTGTCAAAGTTTTTGAAAGCTACCGGTATATGGATAGTTAAGGATGCATTGTTCATTTTAGGAGCGGGTGGGGTGGGGGTCTTGAATAAGTAACTTCAATTGTGAGTGGTCATCAAAGTGTGTCAGTTTTAGTTTCAGGCCACCCAGACTCTTAATAAAATTTATCATACAGAATACAGAATTTTAGCATGTTTATATGCTTTTGTATAAGTAACTATATTTGGTGTTCAGTATTTGAACTAAACCTTGTCATATAAAATTAAATTTCAAGAGATATCCCAATCATGTGTCTGTCATTAATTATGAAAGTAAGCTGATAACCTATTACTAGATGTGAGCTTAGAGATTAATGACGAAATAGAATTTAGTTATACACACTTGTAAATATGGTTAACTGTCAGTTGAAATACCATAACGTTTGACAGGAGCAGTGTTGTGGAAGGTCACTCCATGGTAGGGCAGGAGGGTTTGTTTGTCTAGGTAAGAAGAAATTATGACTCTATTGATCCAGTCTAAGGTTACGTACCTGTCAAGGGTCTTCCTCAATCACTCAGGGTAATATATACGCTATGTGAGTGCAAGGGTGACCCAGCTGTACGAGGTGCCATGATTTACTGTGAATTATAGCACCATGCCAGAAGCTGATTGTTGGTTTGAAGTCCACATTCGTCCTGATTAAATTTCCAGTTATGTCAGACCTTTACACGTGATTGTCGGTTTGATCAAAGTGGTACATGACTAAGACATGCATCGCTGTGGGATCCATCACGTCGTCAAGCTGACACACTTCGATGTGTGTTGAATAATGTTTGAACTCATTCATTCATTCATGAAGTAAAGCAAATCTTGAAATAATAACCGGGCGGTGGGGTAGCCCAATGGTTAAAGCGTTCGCTCGTCATGCCAAAGATCCAGGTTCGATTCCCCACATGGGTACAATGTGTGAAGCCCTTTTCTGGTTTAACCTGCCGTGATATTGCTGGACTATTGCTAAAAGCGGCATAAAACTAAACTCACTCTCCCACTTGAAATAATGACTTGATTCCACAGTGTTGACAGATAACATTAGTATTTCAAAGGACATTGTCTTGGTGGTTGAATGCAAACTGTTCGTTAAGCAGGTACATGTGGCAGATCTGTTATTTGTCTTTCAATTTTGTGGGTCAAAAACACTCTTTTCAGCTTGGTATCCTATTTTTTCATGATCAGCACCCTTTAAATAGTTAAAATAGCCTGGATACCAAATCCTACTTAAAAATGTATCTAGCATTACTTTATACACAATCGGCCCTAGTCTAATTAACAGGCATGATTGTCATGACTGAGAGTTACTGTGATGTGATACTGCGATTTATGATTTTTTCACAAATGCTCCATGGGCATTGCTGGCTGCACTGTCACCTCAACTTAAACTGGTCATCAGTGGCATCCAGGTGGATTGGGTGATCAGGCTTGATGACTTGGTTAATTGCACAACATATACTCAGATAACTCGCATGTCTGCAAGTCATAATGTCAGTGCAAATGGACCCCCATTTAGCCTCACCTCACCTAATATACCCTGAGATTTACACTAATCTGGTACATTGCTGTACACTATTAACAAGGGAGTACCAGTCAGATAAACCCATTGCCACTGAGTTAATCCATAACATTTCATTGACCTAAGATTGAGCTTATCATATTACGACTACTGCTAATCTTTTTGCTTTTCCTTAGTAATTGGTGTCAAAATTATTTGAAGTGTTTCCCTTTAGTGCCCTGGATATAAAACAAATGTTGAAAGTGTGTGCTGTGCACTTTTTTGTCATAGTTCATGCATAATTACAAAAATGGTATCTGACATCCATTATGATAGGGGGCGGTGGGGTAGTCTAGTGGTTAAAGCGTTGTCTCGTCACGCCAGGTTCGAATCCGGGTTCGAATCCCCACATGGATACAATGAGTGAAGCCCATTTCTGGTGTCCCCAGCCGTGATATTGCTGGAATATTGCTAAAAGCGCCGTAAAACCAAACTCAGTCAGTCAGTCCATTATGATAGAGGGGAACGCCATAGGTGGATCCAGAGTGGGGTGCACGGGTGTGCACCCCCATTTTGTACTTAAAGTTTATTAAATGACCATTGAAACTCTCGTGAAAACAGGTAAATATGAACTGTGCAACCCCCCTTCCTCAAAAAGCTTTATGTGCCCCTGGGAACACAGAAGTGCTGAAGAATGTACAGTGAATTTTGGTTTTAGAAAACTCAAAGCAACCACTAAATTTAGTTTGTTATGACTCTAGTTCAGGAAAAGCATTTAAACATGGTTGTCCAAATGTCAGACATCTTGAATGAAGTCATGTGACCACATTTGCTCAGTATCAAATTTGTTAATCTCATACCTACCATAAGTAAATACATGTTATAAATACGGTTCCATTGATACGTCAAACATTCATACATGTTGAACATTGATGTCTAAAGTGTTCTGTTTGTGAGATGTCTTTGCCACTGAGCGAGTGAGTGAGTGAGTGAGTTTAGTTTTACGCTGCTTTTAGCAATATTGCAGCAATATCACTGCGGGGGAAACCAGAAATGGGTTTCACGCATTGTACCCATGTGGGGAATTGAACCCGGGCCTTCGGCATGGCGAGTGGGTGGCTGCCACTGTAACTTAAAGTACTGATGTACTTATCTCAAGTTGTCACATTTATAGACAGAGCAGCTCAACTATGAAGGCTTCAGCCTAATTGCTGTGTTACTATTGTAAATATAGGAATGTCCGCCCAAGAGAGCGGAAGATATCGAGGGTTCGATCCCTGACCGCGTCATACCAAAAGACGTTAAAATATGGTACTTGTTGGTCCCTGCCTGGCGCTCGGCATTAATGGGTACAACAAGGACTGGTCAGCTCAGAGTCAGTATAATGTGTCTGAGTGGGGTATTCCTGCTTCACTGCGGCATGGTATCTCAGTGGGCTAGCACTATAAAACCAGCTTCAGTCTGGGCTAGTACAAGCAGCCGCACATACACATACACACGCATGCACGTCGTCATATGAGTGAAATATTCTCAAGCACGACGTAAAACCCAATTTCACCTCACCTAATATAGGAATAATAAGGTGTCAAAACATTTTGTCGAGTTAATAATCATGTAATCACTTAACTTGTGTAATTTCTCTAGTCAACATGGCCAAATGGCATGTCAGTCTAAGATACGACCGTGATATCACAGGTGGCAGGTATTAGATCTGGGGGTCTGTTTTAATCATATTATACCTTCTGTACCTCCTTGCTTGCACCACAGGAAACAGTGCCTGTATTAGGTGGCTTACACTACAGTGTCTAGCCACGATATGGTAACGGTCGCAAGCCAACCATGCAGTGTTTTGGTGTGTTGTATTTCTACTTGTTGTCCCTCGTAGCTGAGGATATGCCTTGACAGAACAATTCAGGACATTTAAATCAACAAACTTCGAACAAGAGAGCTTTCAACAACATTAACTTAAAACTGCCATTAGGAGGCATGTTGAAATATGAAGCTGATTTACTTGTGGAGCGTGCTCAGACATTGACTGCCTGATGTTGTCACCATTGTGTTGTGTGGAGTTACTACAATGTGATAGCACCTGCATGTGTGTATTCTATTGTGGATCTGGAATCTGTTTAACAACAGGCATGACAATAATGTTTGAGTGAACAAGTTATCTTTTTTTTTTCAAATCCCCTGGAGCACGTTGGAGTTTTATGTGATTTTGGTGTGAGATTTTATGACGATGTCTGTCACACAAGATCAGGCGACCTTGCCTCCAACTATTATGGAACCTGTGTTGGCTACAGAACCTGCTTATAGAGGACATGTTCTGAAATCTCTGTAGGTTTTATGCCATCATATTGTGTCACTGTGCTGCATTTGTTACACACATAATGATTGATATATTAAGTAGTGGTGGTCCGATTAATTGAAATAATCGAAGATTGGTCGAAGCAATGACTAAACGACCAAGCAATCGATCATGTTTTCTCATAATCGAACACAAACAATTCTGGAACACTTGTTTGCATTAACAATATTTTTCACAAGGTTGGTTTTGTCTGTTACATTTCATAAACATTACAAGCTCGTTCCAAGTCAGGATTGAATTTATCTTAAAGACTCCAGGAAATTTATGTTCCTTACATACTAGTCATCCTTTAAAGATGTTAAATTTGCACATGCATTTTGTAGAATTTGCAAAAAGACTCATAAGAACTACATGTTTTTTTCTTTGTTTTTTGTGAAGTAACAAACATAACCAGAAAAATTTGATAAATGATGCTGACCAATTATTTTCGATGATTGATCGGTTGTAATGAACCAATCATCAATTATGAGATTTTATCCAATTCCCAACACTAATATTAAGACGATAACCTGCGTTTTTGTAGATTTTAACTTAAAAGTGTGATAATTAGAACCTAGATATGATATAATGACTTTTGATAGATATGATATAATGTTTTACCTCACTCACATTTCAGGGTAGGGGACGGTGGGGTAGCCTAGTGGTTAAAGCATTAGCTCGTCACGCAGAAGACCCGGTGGTTCAAATCCACACATGGGTACAATGTGTGAAGCCCATTTCCGGTGTCCCCCGCCGTGATATTGCTGGCATATTGCTAAAAGTGGCATAAAACTAAACTCACTCACCCAAGCAACCCTAGCCCCCAGCCATGTTATATGGTATATCACACAAGGGTCAAATGCTGTATTTCCTTGATTGAACCCCAGGCCTATATTTTCAATTAGACACTGGTTACTTTTTATGTACAGAATGTTCCCCACCTTTTATGATTAACAGCTGGGGTTATGAAGTGTCTAAAAACATGCTTGGGCATTTTAGGAAATATAATCCTAAAACCTGTTTGATCACCTAGCCATGCTGTTTTGAGTCACCTTCATTCATTCTTTCCTCTTGTTTCTTAGACACAGCAAGCCAAGAAGTTTGGTGGATGGTCAGATCCCAGCAGTTGTGTCCAGTGTTGACATTGATGAAATCAACGCAAAACCGTCGGTTCCATACCGACTTCCCCGTATTTCCCCAGGGGTGACACCTCGTCTGTGTTGCAGCGAGGAGGAGAGCGAAGATGATGTGTCGGAGAAGATGTGGGGGAGATTTGGTTATGAGGACATTGTCAGGTGAAGTTGTTTTCAGCCCAAATACATTATATTTTCTTCCCAACTGTCTTCCTATAAATCATCCTGAATCACATCATGACACTGTTACAGTGGAAACTGCCTACTCACCTTTGTATATTGGATGCAAATATCATGAGATGTACCCTGTGCATTGTCCTACCAGATAGAGGGGGTGACCCAATCGTCTAAGGCTCCACATTTTTCAGTTCAGATAACCTGTGAAGATCATGGTTACAATTAGTCTTTAACAACCCATGCTTGCTGTGAGAGGCGACTAACATGATCGGGTGGTCAGGGTTGCTGACTTGGTTCATGCATGTCATCATATCCCAACTGTGTAGATAGATGATGTCAATCACTGGATTGTCTGGTCCAGACTTTATTATTTACTGACCACAGTCATATAACTGGAATATTGCTGAGTCTGACATTAAACAACCAATCAAATCTCAGTTCGGGAGCTGCATTCCTTGGTCATACTAGAAAACTATGATCATGAGTGAGTCGAGGTTCACCCTGGTTATGTAACTAGTTTGTCAGGACAGTACCGATGCTCATGGGTTTCACCAAAGTAGTAAACATGTAGGACCTGCATTACTTCGAGCTTTCCTCTCACATTAAGCTCGACCGCCTCCGTGGTGTAGTGGTTAGAGCGTCCGCCCGGAGAGCGGAAGGTCGCGGGTTCGATCCCCGACCGCGTCATACCAAAAGACGTTAAAATATGGTACTTGTTGGTCCCTGCCTGGCGCTCGGCATTAATGGGTACAACAAGGACTGGTCGGCTCGGAGTCAGTATTATGTTTCTGAGTGAGTGGGGTATTCATGCTTCACTGCGGCATGGTATCTCAGTGGGCTAGCACTATAAAACCAGCTTCAGTCTGGGCTAGTACAAGCAGCTGCACATACACATACACACGCATGCAGGTCGTCATATGAGCGAATATTCTCCAGCGCGACGTTAAACCCAATTTCACCTCACCTCACCTCACATTAAGCTCACACACCATGATGTAACTGTAAAGAAAAAAGCATCAAACCCAACTGACTGTAACTCTTTCCAACTAATCATCCTTCTTGGAAGTCATCAAGCTCTGGATTGATTCCCATTACATCAAAGCTTTGACTGAGATGATGATCAAGGAATAAATCTGTGACGAGGCAAATAAAAATACCCATCACATTATCATGTATTTATAGGCATATAGCTGTTAGGAGCTAAAGCAAGTATTAACTCAGGGCTGGAAATAACTTCAAAATTGATAGTGTACTCCGGTATAGTGGCACAAGTAAAATCACTTGCCCTGATAATTTTTCGACTACACTGGCCGATTTTCTTGTTGATATTTTAAAATAAACAACATAATTAACATTGGAAAGTCAACTGGACACCGGTACAGTGTGATATACAAATTTGCTTGCCCGACAGAAAAACAACACTGGACTCGGGCGTCGGGCAATGGGTTATTTCCACCCCTATAACTACATTAGTTGCTGCATTTTATACGGATGGACAGTGACTGAGCATGACGAGAAGATATATGAAAGTTGGCGGCTCGGCTAACTGGACATACCATTTTGATACTTAATTTAAGGGTCAAGTTACGATCCTAGCTTATCTACGGTCATACAGTCGAGCACCGTTGTCGAACTCTGATTACTCGATATCTCAATTGTCTCGCTATAACTTCTCAGTCCCATCAAAATCCTTCATAATATATCATTATTCAAGCTATTTTAACTCGATACGAATGGTCAAAACAAGCAAAATTACCCTTTTAACTCAATATTTGCAAAGAAACTCGATATTCACCTACCTTTCATTGGCAAGTATCCTTCTGAACTGAAGTTGTTTCCACACGTTTTCACACGGTGCAGCATGAATCAAAGGGATGTGGTAGTGTAAACTAATTAGAGCTAATTGAGTTGAAGGTGTCACTTGTTTGTTGTTTAATTAGGATTAATTAAGAAGGATTTAATTAGGAAGTACTCACTGTTGCGATTATACACTACTGATGACGGATTATAGTTTCGAATCAAAACACACTGAGAAGCGTTTTGTTTTCTTTCATAATGATATGTGATGATATGCCCGGGTCTGATGTCTCGAAGTTCGGATAACTCGATATTTTTTCTTGGTACCTGTACCATGAATATCGAGACAACGGTGCTCAACAGTATACAGGGATGGCAATTTTCCGTGGATCCGCTGATTTCCGCCGATTTTATTTCAAATTGATCATTCTGAACCCGCCATTCGATGACACAATATTAAGTTTTCAGCTGAAAATAGATTTTCCTGTTGCCATCCCTGTGTATATGGTAATTACGGACAGTCTTCTTGTACCTGTAGTAATGCTGAATGTGGCATTAGGAAACAAATAAAATCCATGTCATATAACATGATGATATTGTTGGTAGAATCCCCGCCTTGACGCCAAGTATCAACAGGGTGTCAATTGGGAATAACCCACGGATTACAAATTCCCTGAACACCTCCCTCGCCATGGCCGTTCCTCGATTCCGAACTGCTGCCATTACACCCACTAAGTCTATCTCGAAGATAAAGGATGAGATTGATGCATATAAAAGGTAAGATCCGTGGGCAAGGGAACCTAACATTATTTCACTGAAAGACATTGTCACCAGTGAGATAAATTATTTTTTAGATGAAAATCAAATGGGAAATTGAGGCCTCATGTCTACAGTGTCTTCTAAACAATTCTTCATTTTTACAAGTAGGTCTATTGCACTAAATATTAACATCAGCAAAAGTGCATGAAAATGTATGGATGTTTGTTTTTGGTCGTCAGTTTATTTATTGCAAATTTGACTCAATTCCAGCCTTTTGGAGAAGGCCAACAGGGGAGATAACTCTGACATTGCTGCATACCCTGAACCCACCCCGACCCCAGTCAGTCGCAGTGCCTCCCCCACCAAATCTGTCAAGAGTATTCATTGGACCCTGGGTAGCAGCGCAAAGAAACAACTCATGTTTGACAAGAGGGTGAGTAGGAAGTTAAAAAACTACTGAAATTAGTGGGATAGTGTTCAGATTATTAGCTTGTCACGGCAAAGGTTTGATCTCAATAAAGATATAAATTTGATGCCCATTCCCACTCTTTTTCATTCCTTTGTATCGCAGACATTTTATTGTGCAAGGCTGTGTCCAGTGTTGCAATGTCAGTAACCACATGGTGTTAATATCAACTTAATTGCTAGAAATGAGACTGGGATAAATATAGGCTACTGGAGGTGAAAAGGGATGAATATAGGCTACTGAAGGTGAAAAATGGATGGGCTACTGGAGCCGAAAGGGATGAAAATGGATGAATATAGACCACTGGAGGAAAAGGGATGAATATAGACTACTGGAGGTGAAAATGGATGAATATAGGCTACTGGAGGTGAAAATGGATGAATATAGGCTACTGGAGGTGAAAAGGGATGAGTATAGCTTACTGGAGGTGAAAAGGGATGAATATAGGCTACTGGAGGTGAAAATGGATGAATATAGGCTACTGGAGCGAAAAAGGATGAATATAGGCTACTGGAGGTGAAAAGGGATGAGTATAGACTACTGGAGGTGAAAAGGGATGAAATAGGCTACTGGAGGTGAAAAAGGATAGGCTACTGGAGGTGAAAATAGGATGAATATAGATGAGAATATAGGCTACTGGAGGTGAAAATGGGATGAATATAGGCTACTGGAGCCGAAAAGGGATGAATATAGACTACTGGAGGTGAAAAGGATGAGTATAGGCTACTGGAGGTGAAAAGGGATGAATATAGGCAACTGGAGGTGAAAAGGGATGAATATAGGCAACTGGAGGTGAAAAGGGATGAGTATAGACTACTGGAGGTGAAAAGGATGAGTATAGGCTACTGGAGGTGAAAAGGGATGAATATAGGCTACTGGAGGTGAAAAGGGATGAATATAGGCAACTGGAGGTGAAAAGGGATGAATATAGGCAACTGGAGGTGAAAAGGGATGAATATAGGCAACTGGAGGTGAAAAGGATGAGTATAGGCTACTGAAGGTGTAAATGGATGCTTATAGGCTACTGGAGCCGAAAAGGGATGAATATAGACTACTGGAGGTGAAAAGGGATGAGTATAGACTACTGGAGGTGAAAAGGGATGAGTATAGGCTACTGGAGGTGAAAAGGGATGAGTATAGGCTACTGGAGGTGAAAAGGGATGAATATAGGCAACTGGAGGTGAAAAGGGGTGAATATAGGCACTGGAGGTGAAAAGGGATGAGTATAGGCTACTGAAGGTGAAAATGGATGAATATAGGCTACTGGAGCCGAAAAGGGATGAATATAGACTACTGGAGCCTATAGTGAAAAGGGATGAGTATAGACTACTGGAGGTGAAAAGGGATGAATATAGGCTACTGGAGGTGAAAAGGGATGAGTATAGCTTACTGGAGGTGAAAATGGATGAATATAGGCTACTGGACTGACTGACTGAGTTTAGTTTTACGCCGCTTTTAGCAATATTCCAGCAATATCACGGCGGGGGACACCAGAAATGGGCTTCACACATTGTGCCCATGTGGGGAATCGAACCTGGGTATTCGCCGTGACGAGCCAACACTTTAACCACTAGGCATAGGCTACTGGAGGTGAAAAGGGATGAATATAGGCTACTGGAGCCAAAAAGGGATGAGTGTAGTCTACTGGAGGTGAAAAGGGATGATCATAGGCTACTGGAGGTGAAAAGGGATTAATATAGGCTACTGGAGGTGAAAAGGGATGAGTAGGCTACTGGAGGTGAAAAGGGACGATCATAGGCTACTGGAGGTGAAAAGGGATGAGTGTAGGCTACTGGAGGTGAAAAGGGATGAGTGAGTGTAGGCTACTGGAGGTGAAAGGGGATGAGTATAGGCTACTGAAATTGTGGGACGGGATTTGTTATAGCTTCTAGAGTTAAGGAGAGGTGGATATAGGCTGGTGGAGCTGAGAAGGGGTTAAGTATAGGCTACTGGCACTGAAGAGGGATTGAGTATAGGATACAAGATCTGAGGAGAGGAGAGTTAACTGGTGAAAGAGCTTCTGGAGCCAAGGAAGGCTACTAGAGCTAAGAAGGGGATAAGAGAATTGGTGTGATTGTGGTTTTAAAATAGTGCTCTGGGGTCTGTCAGACTGAAGAGGGTTTGAGTACAGGCAACCACATCTGAGGAGGGGTTGAGTACAGGCAACAGTATCTGAGGAAGAGATAGCTTACTGGTGTAAAGGCTACTGGAGCTGAGGAAAGCTACTAGAGCTGAAAAGGACATAAGAGAATCATTGTGATAAAGGTTTTAAAATAAGGGTCTGTCAGACAAGAACAACATGATGTTGATCTGACATCATGCAAGATGCTGATGACACTGAAGCAACAGGAGTACTACTGAATGTCAATAACATGCTAGGGGCGGTGGGGTAGTGTGGTGGTTAAAGCATTTGCTCGTCATGCTAACTCTGTGATGGGTAACCCGTGAAGGTCTGGGTTAGAATGAACCTACAGTAACCCATGCTTGTCGTAAGAGGCGACTAATGGGATCGGGTGGTCAGACTCGCTGGCTTGGTTTACACATATCGGTTCCCAATTGCGCAGGTCGATGCTCATGCTGTTGAGCACTGGATTGTCTGGTCCAGACTCGATCATTTACAGACCGCTGCCATATAGCTGGAATATTGCTGAGTGCGGTGTAAAATTAAACTCACTCACTCACTGTGATGGGTGATGTAATGAGAACACTTCTCTTTCTACAGGGTAGAGGGAGAGCACAAGGACCCTTCTCCCGGGAGTTCACCGTCACATGCTTTGCCCCACAAAACTGGTTGAGGCTAAAGCTGGGACGATCAAAGACCATGTATCACTAGAAAAGGACGAATTTGAACTTTAAAAAATGCCCCTCCACCTTGAAAGTGCTGGTGTTATACAGTGACATATAAAAACACCCTTGGCACTGCCTGTTGGGCAGGGGAACCTTATTGACTTTAGTTTGTTACAGGTTACTCATATATTTGGTGATGTTTCATCTGGTAATACAGCCTTTCTTGGGGAAATACATACAGGGAACTACACAAGTATTACATTGGTGTTGACATCAATAATTCAAGTGTTTTTAATTTGTTTTCATGGATATTCCTGTATAACCCACATGGTCAAGTCTAAGGTGCTGTAGGTCACTATTCGGAGTTACATCCCTTAGGTGTGTAAGGAACTTATGACAAAAGGTTTGATTCTTGGTTCACTCTGACTTCATTCTTAGGTTTTGCAAGTGCCATACCTGTGCCTAATGGAACTCACCAAAGTGGTTGATATCGTGGTTGAAATGCTGTGATATGACTGAAGTAATGTTCAAGTCAATATCAAGCTCAACTCTGTTACTGTGGACATAGATTTATGTATTTGTATTATCCTCTTATTTCAACGGACCCGTGAAGATCCGGGGTAGAATAGATCTTCAGCAACCCATTCTTGTCATACAAGGCGACTATGCTTGTCGTAAAAGGCGACTAACAGGATCGGGTGGTCAGGCTCGCTGACTTGGTTGACACATGTCATCGGTTCCCAATTGCGCAGATCGATGCTCATGCTGTTGATCACTGGATTGTCTTGTCCAGACTCGATTATTTACAGACCGCCGCCATATAGCTGGAATATTGCTGAGTGCGGCGTAAAACTGAACTCACTCACTCACTCTTATTTCAAAGGACCCGTGAAGATGCGGATTAGAATTGGTCAGTAACCCATGCTTGTCGTAAGGAGCAACTAACGGGATAGGGTTGTCAGACTCGCTTACTTGGTTGACACATGTCAGCGTATCCCAGTTGCGTAGATTGATGCTCATGCTGTTGATCTCTGGATTGTCTTGTCCAGACTCAATTATTTTGCAGACAGCCGGCATATAGCTGGGATATTGCTGAGTGCTGCATAAAACTGAACTCGCTCGCTCACTCTTATTTCAAAAGCTGTCAGGAAATGAAAATGAACATTGTAACCAAATCCACAAAATGGTATTTTGAAGTCTTAAAATATCAAATTTATTGTTCATCTATCAAGTATTTTCATGTTTCTGATGCACTTGTAATTCTAGAAACAGACCGATGGATGTTTCATACCTAAAAATACTTATTTTGATCCATGCATGATTTGTATGTGAATTATTTTCACTCTGAGAACCATTGCTTTTGTGTTTGTGTTTTGACTATATTACACTATATCTATTCATATTGTTGATCATATTTATTCTGATGTACAAACACTTGTAAATAATTTCTTAGAGCCCACTTGCATATTTCACAACGTTTTGTTCAATGAACAGTCAGTCAGTTGTTGGTAACATTGAATGAATGTTGTTTAGTATTTCAAAATGATCAGTGAAAGGTGCTGCCCCCACCCAAAGCAAGATATCAAAGGTTTAAACACTGAAAACCTTTTTTGTCTTCATTTATAATATTAAACTTGATGGATCTAGAGTTCGGAAGCATGGGTGATTTTAGCAAGTCTTTCAGACTTTAACATGTTTTAGCCTTAACTCTCATTTCAATGTCAAAAGTTGATGGAAGAAAGATTGGTAACAATATATGGATGAACAACTACTTTATTACAGTGAGAGTGATGTATGTATATATATGTATATATTTAGTATCTAGTTGTTGATGTGGGGCACCTAATAAGGACAAAACGCTTTATTTTATTTAGTTGTTAATGTTTGAGTGTACCTGCTATTGTCAGAGAAGGTCTTGTTCTTTGTATAAGGTTTTAAGACATTATTCATTGTAACTGAACATGCATTAAAGTTACTGTTTGTTTGATTTTGGGATATGTAGGTTGTTTTTCTCATGTAGGGATGTAACTGTTTGGGTATTTTTAAAGTATATTGGTGAATCTCAGGATGTTCATAAGATGTAGGGGTGTCCTTTAGAATTGTCATGTCCCATATGGAACAATATGTTTTATTTATCATTGTACTTTGTGAATTTCACCAGTGTTAGATATTAAGTAGTGATTGAAATTGTGCATAATTTAGTAAGTATGTGTTTGTCATGTTTATTTGTGGTTTCAATAAAGACACATTGTCACAATGATTAAGAAATCATGATTTCTGAGTGTACTCTTCCAGCACTGGGAACTAACAATCATGCAGAGGTACAGATAAGCTGCGTATCTGCGTAAATTACGCAAATATTTATGTAAAAACTCAGTTCCTATTAAGGCTATTGCGTACAAGTACGCTTGAATTTTTGTAAATACTCAATAGATGTGATCTTACATGCGTACACACAAAAATGTCAAATCTTAGCTAGCGTTACGAGGGATAGATAAATTAACGGAGGTATACTGAGAGGTTCTGTTTCAGGACATGAACTTAGCAACTTGCAGTCTTTCTTATCGTTTTTCATATTACAGATCAAATATAAATAACAAACACTAACATTTATTCTTTAGTATATTTTTACAATTAATGGAAAATGACAAAATACCCAATTGAGTTTGAGTGAGGTGAGTACAATTTATTTGGTTACTCAATAGAAAATTAGGATACCCAGTTGAGATGAACACAAGTGAGTACATAACTCAATGACCCAAAAAGTTATCTGTAGCTCTGATCATGGCATTATGATTTTAACCATAGGTTCCACAAAGCAGTCTTTGCCCTAAGATGATGGTAAAGTCCACTCATACTAATGTCAGTGTTGTGGTACGACTGATTTGTGGGCCAGGACCTGTGGACCAGTGGAAATTAAGCCTTTTCTTTCCTGTGGAAAGTTATGATATGGTGAGAAAATAACATCCGAAGCTTTTAACACAACATGCTACATGAACATGTTTGTCACTGATACTGTAAAGCACCAATAAGAAATGATAATCTGAATAATATCAGAGTAAAGGTGAACAAAGTTAGCTATGAAATGTCTTCAAGCAATATGTCTTCTTTTAAGTCACTTATCTAAAGACTCATTGAAGGTGTGTATTCAATTCCTTCGTAAACATGTATCATTTGAAGCATTCATAAAATATATCATACATTGGTAGTGCGGTATTCAGTTACAAATGCAAACATCTTTTATCTATATTCATGTCTTAATCCTATATATTCTGATACTGATGTCTATATTCATGTCTTAATCCTATATATTCTGATACTGATGTCGCGTATAGCTATGGCAGAAAGGTAACATTTAGAAAATATGACAGAAAATTGTTTCCAAAGGGGAACAACTCTTGCAGGCATAATGACTGAATGAAGCTGGCGTATCTGCACTTGCTTAAGAAATACACCAGTAATTGAACTCACCAGATAAACAGTCATTGGTAGTAGAGTATTATGATGAGCAAAACGCTGTTACCATGTTGTATGGTAGTACAAGCGTGATTGCATATCCTTAGTGGACTGTATAGCTTCATTAGACAGGACATTCTATCGGCTGGGGAGAAACAGCACTGACTTCCCTAGAGCAGTGGCATATGACCTAGAGGGCATTGGAAACCCAGTTGTCTGAGGGGCTGCTGTTTGTTGAGTTGCTTCCTTGAGGGACACTAGAAATCTGTGATCAGAACCCATGTCTACCTTGATTATGTTTCTAAGTTTGTCACCACCATTCCAAGGTTCATAGGTTTCAAAACAAACCATTCCAAAGGTACAATGTGTGAAGCCCATTTCTGGTGTAAGCCCACCGTGATGTTGCTGGAATATTGCTAAGCCGTGTAAACAAAAGTGCAAAACATTTATAAATTGCATCAATATCATAGGCGGATGCCCCTTCCTGGAATATTGCTGAGTGCGGCATAAAACTGAACTCATCTCTCTCCTTTCTCAACCCAACAGCCCCCTTTCTCAAATCAGTTTACAACTCACTGAATCATTTATAATAAGTTATGTACAAATGGAATTACACTGAATTATTTTCTTTACATAAAGAAAGTGGTAATGAATATCTAATTAGATGTTTTTTTAACATGTCCAAGATGTGTATCTTAAGAAGTGTGTTGGTGTTAGTAAATTGGTTGTTCAGGCTTCCAGTCTTTGGTATGAAATATCTTGACATTGTACAAATTAGTCCAGTTCTGAACTGGTGCCATTTGATGAATTGACAAATTGATTGGCAGGGTTTTCATAAGGTGAAAAGCATAAATTTCCTTGCGTAACTTGGCATGTAGAATTCTGCTATTTACTTTGTCTGTCCACTAAATGTGTAGAAATGAATTCATCTTTAGAGAAAATATTTGCATAATAGGTACTAAAATTATGGGACTTGTGAAGACCTTGGTTAGAATTGGTCTTCAGTAACACATCCTTCTCATAATACATCCGTTAGCTGTGGCTAACGAGATTGAAATGGTCAGGCTCGCTGACTGGTTAGGCTTGACTGGTTGACCCACATGTCTTAGATTCCAAATTGCATAATTGATGCTCATGCTGTTGGTCCCAGCTGGATTGTCTTGTCAGGCTCAATTATTCACAGCCCACCATCAAAGGAGCTGGAATATTGCTGAGTCACTATAATGTAAAAACCACTCCCTATTCTCTCACTCCAACATAGCAAGTCTTTGATTTAAGCTGATATTATCAATATTGGATGTGATGGAGCAAAGACATTTAAACTATCAACCTTTTCTGCTTTACGTTACCTTTCTCAAAAAGCTGTATCTGCCCCTGAAAATGGACTTTCATCTGTCATTTAACTGACATGTATACAACTGGAATGTTGTTCAAAATCAGGTTACAACTCACTGACTCACTTATAATAAGTTATGTGAAAATAGGACTACACTAAAACTGAATTATTTTCTTTACATATAAGAAAGTGGTAATGAATATCTGAATTAGATGTTTTTTTAACATGTCCAAGATGTGTATTTTAAGAAGTGTGTTGGTGTTAGTAAATTGGTTGTTCAGACTTTGGTATGAAAATATCTTGACAGTACAAATTAGTCCAGTTCTGAACTGGTGCCATTTGATGAATTGATTGTTTTTTCATAAGGTGAAAAGCATAAATTTCCTTGCATAACTTGGCATGTAGAATTCTGCTATTTACTTTGTCTTTCCACTAAATGTGTAGAAATGAATTCATCTTTAGAGAAAATATTTGCATAATAGGTACTAAAATAATGGGACTTGTGAAGATCTGGGTTAGAATTGGTCTTTCAGTAACACGTCCTTCTCATACACATCCGTTAGCTGTGGCTAACGAGATTGGGTGGTCAGGTTCGCTGACTTGGTTGACCCACATGTCTTAGATTCCAAATTGCGCAGATTGGTGCTCATGCTGTTGGTCACTGGATTGTCTTGTCCAGGCTCAATTATTTACAGCCCACCGTCATGTAGTTGGAATATTGCTGAGTGCGACGTAAAACCCACTCACTCACTCACTCAACATAGCAAGTCTTTGACCCAAGCTGATATTATCAATATTGGATGTGATGGAGCAAAGACATTTAAACTATCAACCTTTTCTGCTTACGTTAGCAGTTATGTTGTACTTACATATTCAAGAAGCCAAAAACTTGCAAGTTAAAGAAAATAGGAAGCTTGTCAACCATTTCTACATGTCACTTAATTTCATACCATTATTACAAAATGTCCATATGTTTACAATTTGTCATTCCTAGTAGGGGCAGTGGTAAGCGTTTGCTTATCACGCCAATGACTCAGGATCAGTTCCCCACATGTACAATGTGTGAAGCCCATTTCTGGTGTCCTCTGTCGTGATATTGCTGGAATATTGCTAAAAGCGGCGTAAACCTAAACTCACTCACTCTTTCCTAGTGGGCCATAAAGAGACCATGTCCTTTAATGCTGTTTATCATCAGGGATGCAGGGGAGTATATACAGGGATGGAGAAATGCTGATGCTACCGATGGAACCACCCTGGACAGGTGCCCTTCCACCCTCATGAGCAGATACAGGAACCATGATGCAGAGTGTGATGTACAGGACAAATAAGGTATGTTTCTTGTTCTTTGAAGTTGATTCCCCACATGGGTACAATGTGTGAAGTCCGTTTTTGGTGTCCCCTGCTGTTGTGATACTGCTGGAATATTGCTAAGAGTGGCGTAAAATCATACTCAGTCGGTTTTTGAAGTTGATATGTGCATAATGAATACTAATCTTTCAGTGACCTTGGTTTGATTATGTGCCAAGCATGGATTTACTGATGACTCATGGTAGCTGAATTTGAATGGGTGGTCAGGAATGGTGACTTGATGGATTATGTTTCATTGACCTGAACATTGCTACAGTGTGTGAAGCCCTTTTCTGGTGTTCCCTGCCATGATAATGCTGGAATATGGCTTCCCTTCCCCACTCACTCACCTGCCTGAATAGTGTAGGAAATTGTTTCTAACACAAGAGCTTGTTTGTCACAGATAAGTTAATAATTAATAATGATAATTTATAAAAAAATATAAATAAGACTGCATGAGGTCCTTGTCTGCTTAGCTAGACTTGCCTCTTCAAAGGATAGAATTACTATACATCCATGGGCTCAGCATTCAGTACACCTTTGGAGCAAGGCTAGCCACAGAAGTGTAGGCTGCAGTAATAGAACCCAGTTGATCCAGACTTGCCACACCCCAGCTAATGAGTCCCCCTGTCCTACCCTCCTCCCCCCTGTCCTACCCTACCCCAGTCAGCTACCCCTCATTTCTCTCACCCTTTCATCACCCAAACAAGCCATCCTCCATTCATCCATTTCCCATCCATAACCCTGACATGAGCTCCAATCCCACGGTACCCATCTCACACCCGAGCCAACAATCACCCAACTCCACGCCTCGGACACAAACTCCCTTCCCAGACCCATCCATCTCTTACCCAGACACAACCCTCTGCCTGTCCCATGCCTCAACAGTGAGCCTAACCATCCCAGGCCTAAGCTGATACCTGATACCCGATCCCATGACCTACAGCCTCCATATATTGTACAGGCATATGGGAAAAACCCAAACTTGCTTTCTCTTGTTCCTCGAAAGCAAGTGAATATTCAATCCCTGTTATCTAATAGTTGTAAAGTAGTTGTTTTCTTTAGAAAGGTCTTACATTTAAATAAATTTGGAATAATTGATCAAGTTGTTATTCAAGGAATAATTTGTTATGTATCATGATTTTCTTAATGAATTATCCATTCTCTGTTGGTTTTGGCTTCCCTGTCTGTGCGCGTTGCCATAACAGATACTTGTTTCCATGCAACAGAAAATATGTTGATCTTGTGCACTTACGGCATAACAGCTAATACATTTCTGATTGAGTCCATAATGGTGGCCATTCAAACCGATGGGGATTTTTTAGCTGAGATGACTTGACATATTTCCGCCTGTTGCTTTCAGCAAGTTCTGAGTGATGTAATTTGAGCTTTGAGTATGCCACATTGTGAAAAACCTAAAGTTTGTACTTATTCTGCACCGATATTTTTAGCCCTGTATCAGAATAATGCAGCTTTTTGTATTCACACAAGTTCGTGTTATAACTTGCATCGAGTGAGTGTATAGGATTTGAGCAATGTCATGGGACATCAGCGTTTCACACCCAAGTCTTCCGGGTGACTAGCAGACACTTTAACCACTTGGCTATAGCATTGCCCAATCTTGCACAGAATGATACAGACTGGACATGGTTTTTTGTGTTGGGGGCAAGAATGAAGGCCCTTGGGCTTGCCATGATCATGGGTTCGAACCTGATCATATGTCTCGGTTTGTCAGCACCATACCTGCAGGGGCTGCGGGGTAGCCTTGAGGTTAAAGCATTTGCTCATTGCGCTGAAGACCAGGGTTTGATTCCCCACATGAGTACAATGTGTTCCCCGCCGTGATATTGCTAAAAGCAGCGTAAACCCACTCGCTCATAGGTTTTCAGCAGAATAGTAAACATACAAGAAATGTCATTAAGCTGTCATGCTGGGATGTAACTGGAATAGTGTCTATAAATCCAAGTCAAATTTATTCTTTAGGAAGATCATCTGGTTGTGGATTGACTCAGTTTCTGCTTCTTCCCTTTGAGTTTCACAGGTGTAAAGCAGGCCTGGCACCCAATACTTTATCGGTAATGAAACAAACCAAAGATTTGTATTACATACATATATTTATTCTTTGATTATATACACCAAGTTCCCATGAGAGAACTTGTAACCCTAGCAACAGAATGCAATGTCACATGACATCACTGCTTTCTCCCATGATTCTCATCAAAGTATATTTTTTAAAAACCAAGCTAACTGTAACAATCATGAACAATTAACATATCCTGCGTAATTGTGGAAAATCAAGGTCTCAATGAGGTTACACAAATTATTAAAAGTGTATTAAGCTGTCATGTTGACCAGTTTCCATACTTGTCCAATATTTCGGATGTAGAAAAAAAACTGACCCTTTCATACCTACAGAAAAATATTTGTGCATGGCTTTTGTTAAAAATAATCTGCAAAACAAATTAACTCTAAAAATATTTTCACTTCCTAAACATTGCACAATCCCAAGAATCGTATGGGTTTCATTTGTACCAGTACTAAAACATTTTTTGCACCAAATTTCAAGGGATAATTATTGGCTCGTCTCTTCAGTGAGTAATGGTATTAGCACTTATCACATAGTTACTACACAAATGAATTAGATCACATAAATATGAGCAACACTAAAAATCTCATTTTTTAAATCATGTACAAAACAAACTAATCACAGCCACTCGGACACGTAACATTGGGAGAAGGCAGATCTGAGACGGAGAATCTGATTGGTCCAACTGCAGGATGCATAAATGACTGCTGCCAATTGTGTTGTTGAGATCACAGCTGTCCGAATTTCCTGTGCAGATGGCATAAACAATGGATGTTTGCATATATCCAATGAGGCCAATGTCTGATTAAAAACAATTAAATATACTGTAAAATTAATAGCACTTTGGGTGAAATTGGTTTGTTCAACTGGACATTTGTTAGTATAAATTTATTTGCATATTGCAGTGTGAAAGTAAATGAGTAAGTTTGACATTAACTAAACATGCAAGAAGAAATCAGGGAACAAAAATACCCATAAAAGAATGTTAACAGATTGAGCAGTGGAAAGAATTAACCCAGATGTCCACTTAGAAGCAAAACAAAATCAGAATGTCACTTTTCATGGATCCTGGGTAGTGGAATAAAAGATGATGACAATAAAAATTGTCCAATACGTAACAAAGTCAACAGATCTTCAGAACAAATGTAAAACCCACTAACAGAGACACCAATTAAACAATATCGGTACAACAGAAACGCCCTGTCGTTAAACTCAGACCAGCAGATTGGAATTGATCGAGTTCATAAGCAAATAATTAACTGACATAAAACCAATATTGAGATATATGGCTAAGTAATCATTTCTATTCTGACAAAAGATAATTGCAGAAGAAATTCATTTTGCATACTGTTCATTAAGATGAATTCCTAAGCGTCTTCCCTCGAACCTCTGTATGTGTGACAGATAATATTTCCTTGATTAAATATGGAGAAGTGTTTATGCACATTATCTTTGCAACTACATGCCAGTGTTCCATTCGAGGAAATACGGTAAGGAAAATGTCGGGTCATATCAAAAAACACACTACACCCTTCTTTTCTTGAAACATTCGAAAACAAGAAGGACACAGACATGTTGGACAGCAATCTTTCCCTAGAATTATTTTGTTGACGAGATTTCCATGTCGCTATGTTCTATTCAAGCACTAGGCAAGATATGTTATGATATCACAGTGAAGGGGTATGAATATAATATCATAAGGTCAATGTCATGACCTTACAAAGGTCACAATGACTGAAGCCAATATTCAGACAATCCTTTCTCTCACACTCTGTTCCAGATCTAGATGTAACCATGTTTTCATGGAGTGGGTAATGCACAACGTTTAACAAGTTCTCCTGGAGTAACAATTCCTGAGTCTCACTCTGTCGTTTCTGATTAGTGCGCTAACATGAAAATGAACAACTCAGTCTTCTTGGCACTACTGCGAGTCCATCACTGGCCAGTCACGGTCTATTTTCAATGTGCTTTCAGAACAGCCCAAAGGACCATTGGTCATGTTTTGTTCAAACATTATTCTGTCATGTGACCATTCATTCAAATGAGGAGATTCTTCCTTTTATTAAATGACACATGCATGATTTTAGATTCATGTTTTGTATCACGTGTGCTTGTTTGTTCTTATCACAGAGTTGCAGGTCATGGTCAAATGGCGATGGTAAATGGGTGAGCACTTGAACGGTGGGGTCAAAGATCCATGGTTGCATGACGTTTCATGTGTAGTGCCAGATGATCCGATCGGGAGAAACATCTCTCACAAAACCTACATTGGAAGGGTTTTGCCCCAGTATGTTTGCGGTAGTGGCGTGTAAGTTCATCACTTCGGGCAAATCGCCATTCACAACCTTCCCATGTACATTTGTAGGGTTTCTCACCTGAAGAAAACAAACAGTCAGAATAGGTAAAAAAAAAAACCAAAAAACTATTCAGTTAAGTAATGATACTGATAAAAGGCCCAACTTTAAACAGAAGCACATCATTTGTTAGTTGGCCCTCTCCATAATTTAAAATGACACTGACGTTAAACATATTTACCACTTAACAAGAAATGGTGCTCAAGGAGAAGTTCCTGGCATCAATGAGGAGACAACTCATCATCACTGTCTTACCTGTATGAGTTCGTAGATGAGCCTTCAGATGTGAACTTTTGGTGTAGACCTTTTTACAGCCTGTGTACGGACAGTGGTGAACCCTCTTCCTGGTGTCGAGACTAACTTCTATACGGGTTCCAGAAGGAGGGTGGGACACACACTGTTGAGTCTGACCATGATGGTGGGCAGTTTGTGGCCGTTTATGTGATGACCCAGCTGCCACAATAATTTTTTGATGTCTATGAACCAACTCGGCTGAAATTGGGCGCAGTGCAACTGTTTCGGTCCTGCCAGGCCTCTGTGCAACTAATTTCAAAGCAAAAGGGTCATTAGATTTTGTTCGTATTGGCGACAGAGGAGGATCACTTATGTTACTATCCCATGACACACCACTAGATGCTGAACTGAAGCTGTTTATACTGAGGGTATCCGATGCCCGATCATTCAAATTGAGCTGTGCAAATTCATTCAGTTTGTCATCAGCTTCAACTTCATCACCACTATCGCACACATCATCATCATCTTCATCATCAGGAATGTTGTCTACATCATCGGACTCAGGGTAATCTGCTTCCCCCTCTGCTTCTGAAGCTTCACAGGCCTCAGCCCGACGCTTCATCGACATCCCTCCTGATGAGGCATCCTCGGAATTTAGTTTCTTGAAAGACGTGAGCTTTGGTTCATCTTTGAGGTAGCGTTCCATTTCAAGGCAGTTCTGGAAAATACAAGAAAACATATTGAGAAATGAGCCCTCAAATGAAGAGTAATAATGCTTGCTGGCATCGTGTAAGCCTGATAATATATGTGGCTAAATATGTACGCTACGATCACAACAAACTAAAAGAGACAACTCATTATACCCGTTATCCGATAGCCCCCCTTAAAAAAAATAACCCAGTTCATCATATTGTTGCATAGTTTACTGTACATATACTCGCGCCATGTATTTGGTATTTTTGTTAGGCACAAATATACAGAAGACCAATGAAATCCTAAACAGTTTGAATCAATGCTGATACTCTGAAATATACTCTCTGAACATTGATTCATACAAGAACACATATCAAGACTGAAATATTGCAATAAAAAAGTTGACTATCCATAGAACTTAGTTTTCCTGAAATATTGTGTTTGATATTTAATTAACTTCAATCATTCCTACTAATTCGTCTCAACATTTACCATTTTTTAATGCTGTAATTAAATTTTTACAATGGACAAACATTCCTGAGCGAGAGAGGAATTCAGAAACTACTTGTGCACCTGGTCAAGGAGTTGAAAGGCTGGCCTACATAGGTCTGTCACAATGCAGACAAACACAATCTATAGAGTAAATATTAAGTACTAATCCAAACTTGTCACACCGCGTTTTCATTTGTGGACAGGGACAGAACAATTTCATATTCTATTCATTCTGATCATGCTGCCCTAGCTCTGACAATGGCTCATTCACTGTTGTAAATTAACCCTAGCCCTTCTTCACATGAACATGATGACTGAATCTCCAACGACACCCTATAGTGTCACTGTGCTTTTAACTTAGGATCATTCAAGCTGCAATTCTACACTGAACAAAAAGGTGTGGATCAAATATCTCAGGAGATATTTTCAGTGAACTTGGCAAAGAGTGAGCACACAATTTCGGAAAAGTATCTTTAAAACTATTCATGATACTGAACGTTTTTTTCAATAAGTACAATACAAGCTGTGAACAGACAAGTTTGGCTTGAGTCCATCTATTACATTAGATAAATGATGGTTTGAGCAGGACATGGGTTAACCGCGAACCCCTCTGTTAGCAAACACGGGAACACCCACATCCCACCTTGTTCAGCATACCTGGTTACGGATGCTTGCACTCTTACTCATCTCCGGGGACCCACACCTCTGACCCCACCTACGTCAGGGACAAGAGATACATAATACTTGCTTGTCAAGAAAGAATTTGCATTTTTTTACTGGTGCTATTGTACTTGGAATGCAGTTTTACAATTGAGTGAGTGAGTTTAGTTTTACGCCACTTTTAGCAATATCACAGCGGGGAACACCAGAGTGATTGTGTTTAGTTTTACCCTGCTTTTAGGAATATCACTGCACGGGACACTAGAAATGTGCTTCACACATTGTACCCATGTGGGAAATCGAACCTGGGTCTTCGGCATGACGAGTGAACGCTTTAACCACTAGGCTACCCCACTGCCCCTAGGGACACCAGATGTGGGCTTCACACTTGAAACAAAACAGCACCTTTTTGCAGTTTGAAGATATATTTCAAACCCAACATTCTGTAACAGTATTGTCTTGTAAAGTACTACCATAATCTTTTGGGTTTCATATCACAAACATGTAAACACATGGTAAAGCTGTAAATGAATCTCATTTATCAACTCTTCTCAACAAATAGGGTAAGGCTTATCGGACAACTATTGTCAACAAAAACATTGGAATTCCTTCTTCAGTAAAGAAGTAGGTAAATTAAATCAGACACTGAAGTAAAAAACCACCAATGACTTTTCATATCATTCTAAGTGAGCTATAGTGTCTGAATAGCTCTCCACAGAATGACTGCATGTCACGTAGCTGTCATGTCTCACACTTGATAAGAAGAGAATAAAGTATAAGAATGCATTGCCTGTCTGAATGCTTTAGATTTTTGGAATGCTCACTGAAAAGCTCGGGTTGTCCCATTTCTTTTAGCGGTATTCCATTGCGTCACGGTTAACTAGAAGTGCACCTATGCATGTAATGTTTACCATATATGGTAACAAGTTGAGCCAACCACATTTGAAGAAAGGATAGTTTAAACCGAAATAATATCTGTAATAGCGTCATAGAATCTGGTTGCATGACTTTATGAATCGGACGTGTAGACACGAGGTAGTGATGACGTAGGTAGCCCTTACGCACCTAAGACCAAGTGATCTTTACCTACCTATCTCTACTCTATAAAAGATTCGATATGGAGGAATGTTTAGACGTGTTCTCATTCACGATGCATAAATATAGTCTCAACCAAACTATTGTTGTTTGCACAAACAGCGTTGGCCGCGTCTGCTGCTCACATTCATTCTACAGCCTGTGTTTGTACTGAAACCTTTTCATCATGTTCACAAGGGTATGGGAAACGTGAGTCGGGTCATATGGGAAAGGCTGTTATGATTCATACTGCACAGTAGACATTTACAACACTGCTACTTTCTATAGCTGAAAAAAGACACTTTTTAGACCTATTATTTTGACAAAAGACTACTAGTTTATTGTTACATACATTAAACCACCTCTGGGGGGTACATGAAAATTTAGGCTATCTTTAACAAAAGATACCAAAAAAAACCCCTCATGGTATGGGAGTATTTTTGTTGTGTGTATTGACGACATTAATATACAATCAAAAACATGTTAAGCAATATCCAAATTGTTCAAGTTCTCATAGTTAATCTATCATAACACAACACATCACCTACACATCACCTACACATCACCTACAGCAATGGGAAAGAATTAGAGGGCTTCTCTACTTACACACCAGTTAACGTCAATGAAAAATCTTTTTTCTCCACATCATGATTCAGCATAAACCATATTGTGGTAAGGGGTTACAGGGAGCACAGTCAAAGGAACTTTGATTTGCTTTGACAGTACCCACCTTGGGCATGCTAGAAACCTATGATCGTGGTTCAAACACTGATTGGCTCTATGTTTCTTCGATGTCCTGCACGTAGGTTTCACTACAGTAGTAAATGTCTGAGACTACACTCGGCAATATTCCAGCTGTATGGCTTCGGTTCGTAAACATGGAGTCTGGACCAGACAATCCCGTGATCATGAGCATTAATCTATAAAATTGGGATAAGATGTGTCAACCAAATACTTTACTCGAGGTATGACATGTACTTCAGCATTGTCTCTCCCCATCCCTGTCAAATGTATTCCGTGACACACTCATGAAAATTTGGGTTAGAATTTGTCTTTAGCAACCTATACTCGTCATAAAAGTTGAGTAACTGGATCTGGTGGTCAGCTTCACTATCTATGTAATTGAGTGAGTATGATTTTACACCGCTTTTAGCAATATCATGGCAGGGGACACCAAAAATGGACTTCACACATTGTACCCTTGTGGGGAATTGAACCCGGGTCTTCGGTGAGACGAGCAGACACTTTAACCACTAGGCTACCCCACTGCCTGCTGACTAGGTAGATCTTATAATATCACATCCTACTTGATGCTCACAACATCAATCACTAGTCCAGACTTAATTATTTATAGAGTGCACCAACCAACAAACCAAAACTATCTCTGGATATTAACCAGTCTTGATGAACAGTTAATTAACACTGTCAACACTAACAAGTTTCATATTTTGTGTTCCAGAGATGCCCTTGATATACATTGATTTTAGATGATAATGAAGCCAACTTGAGACATCTCCCAGATCAGATAACGGTCTAGAGGGCTAGCTTGCCCAACAGAAATCATTAGACCATTGGGTGTGGCTGTTTGGTTAGGGGACAGTGGAAGTAAGACCTATCTGATGGCAGATATTGACATGTTTTTCCTGGCTGGCTTGTCTTGAGGTCAAGGAGCCATGCTCAGGGGATCAAGGCCACTGGGGATATTCTGCTTTGTGAATTTACCAGCAACACCATGGTACACTGTTCTAAACTAACAAAAAACATGAATGTATATCTATTTTCAATAATTTTTTTTCTATGTAATTACTTATAAATAAGATTTATGATATAGGTCACGCCTGTTTACAAAATTTATTTAACTTTTAGAACATGTTATGTTTGTCTTGTCCAGATAGTTTTGAAACATTAGATATGTGTCTGCTGATATTTCCTTGTGTACATTTATATAATTTACAACTGGGATTTTGCACAATTATTCCTTGTGAAAAAGCATGGTACACAACAAACAGGCATTTTTTTGTTCTGATATAGTGAATGGGAACATTGAATGGGAACATTTACATGTTGATACAGTGACCCCACCATCTTCATTTCTCATTGACTAAGCTTATTCCCTCCTGTACATAAACACCTAAGTCTGTCTCACAGTCCCTGAACCACATTTGTTTCCCTTCCGCAGGACTAGATTTCTTCAGGTTCTGAATCTCCCATCTAACTGGGGTTCCTTTACAATTTAAATGAATTATTTGTTTTTATCAAAATTATTTACATTTAGAGAATAAGCGTTAGTCTAGTGTAGATTTTATTAGTCTCTGAATCTCCCATCATACCGGGGCTCTTTTTTCAATTTAAAATAATTATAGGTTTCTATCAAGTTATTTATATGCAGACTAAGCGTTAGTCTAGTGCAGATGTTATTAGTCTCTGAATCTCCCATCTCACCAGTGCTCTTTTTTCAATTTTATTGAATTATTTGTTTATCAAAATATTTATGTTCAGAGACTTAGCGTAAGTCTAGAACACACTGTGAAGCCTGTGGTCAGCTCAAGTGGCCTGCTCTGTCCAGTGCGGTCTTTACTCAGATAATGCCTGTAATGCTACTGTTCTTGTGCGACTTAGTGTAAGGCCGGAGGACACCATGGATACAATTGTTGTTGTTGTCAAGCCAACACAAATCTACTCTCTAACATTACTGGACCTTTTTATGTTTACCTAACAGTCGGCGTTGGAGAAACATTCAGTGATAGCTACTAACAGATAGACGAGGAAAGAAGTGAACATTGAAAAAAGAACATTCAC